GTGCTCCCCAATGCAACTGGCATCAATCTGTTTTACAGCACGCCCCATAGCAAATGAAGTCCTACTGAGTTATAGCTTTCCGTAGCACATGAATACACCCATAATAAATTTAACATGGCATTGCGACATGCAATCAAAGAAACAGAAAACAGCCAAAGGCGAAAAATGTGTTTTGTATTCTTATACTGTATTGATGTATATGTGAGTAAGGTGATTACTTATATAGAGAGAAATGTAATTGCTCATTTCAGAATTATTGAAATCAATTTCTGAATATAAGACTGAGGCAAAAATGGAAAAAAATCACAGAGCAATGTCTTCCAGTAACTACTTCATCATTGCATAAGATCCATAAACACTTGCTGACAGTCATACACATGAAGCGAGGTGGTGCTGTCCACAAAGCACGTAAGTTCTTTAGCAGCTCTGCTTCACACAATGAGCATGGTGTCTTTCAAAATCATGCAGGGGGTGAGGAATAAATGGCAAGCCTTTGGTCTTGTCCAAGAAAGAATCCAGGGACGGATGCACAGAGAAGCTTAAACAGAGTAAGATTTACTAAAACAAAATCCAAAGTACCCCTCATAGGAGATTGAGGGTGGTCCGCTTGACCATGCAGTCAAGGTCTTAGGCACTTTTATGTGCTGCAGGAGATTAGACTCCTTAATTTTATGTACATAATTATGGAGTTTTCCAAGAAATGGGAAGCCTTTCTAGGGATGGGGGTAGGGAGATGGGATGCCGGGAAGTGCTGTTATCTGATAAGGGTGTTTCAGGCAAACCTGCTGACAGAGGGGAGCTGCAAGCATGAAACTATAATGAGAAGCAGATGAGGCCTCTGGAGAATCTCTAGTGTTGGGAAAGCCCCTGCTGGGGGACTGTTGACCACTGTACCAAGAAGTTGTTTCAACCATGGTCAAAAGTTTCCACAGGACTGTTTAGGAAGCACAGTGTTTGAATGCCTGACAAAATGTGGCGGGATATGATACCTGAATGTGTTGTTTTTCACAGTGGCTTTACTGTTCCCTTTGTGCCTGCCTCCCCATCTCAAAACAAGGAACCTTCCTGAACGTTCATTGTCTAGGTCATCTGCTGGTCAGAAGATAACATGGTAGTCATTTGCAGCTAGATTCTGGTTCCATGTTCTGGAGCAGAAATTGGCAAACTTAGATGTACAGCCCAAATCTGGCCCACTGCTGTTTCTGTAACACGTCATGCTCACTGTTTACTTCCTGTCCGCGGCTCCTTCACACTGCCACAAGAACTGGAACGTCTGGTCCAATGTGCCTCGACCTTCATGGGAAGTCTGCTGACCTTACTTAAGAGCTCCCCTGAACCGGCCTTCCTCTATATTTCTGTACCCCAAGCCCTAAAGCCCAAGACTTCAGTTAAGTAAGACATAGACACCTATCCAGTGAAATGGTAAGACGACATTTACTAAGAGTGCCTAGTGGTCTAGAACAGATCACTTTAGTATAATACTAAGGCTAAAAATATGAAATGGTAAATGCAGTCTTCACAGAAAAAAGGTTCAGTCAATACATCAAAAAGTTGAGACTCATTGTCTTTTGAAGGTAAAGTGTTAGATAATTTTCTTTCTTTTTTTTTTTACTTTTCAGGATAATTTCTGCAAAGAATCTATATTCCACTTTTAATTGGCTTTTAAACAAAAAACCCTAAACCAAAAACATGAATAAGTACTGTCTGACAAATTTTATTCCCTAAAACACATTTTTAAATGTGTTTTTAAATTCAGTTGTACAAAGAAGTGCACGTCTCACCCAGTGCCATCCAGAGGATAAGGACCCACAGCAAAGTGCTCTGTTCAACCTCATTTCAGCACTTGGCTCTGGCAAAAGTGGTTTACGTAAAAGAGACCTGCCCACCTGAGACTCCACTCAATTGTTCTAAGCCACAGGCATCTGGACCATTCTCTCACTTATAATAACTGTATTAGTTCGATTTATTTTTCATTGCGCTTCCTAGTAAGTGCTCACTTTAAAAATTTACTTATATCCTTTCCTTACTCCAAAAAGGATTTCAAGTGACCATGGTGATATGCATCCCATCTTGGAGGAGAGTAGGTCATTCCCTAATCATAGGCCAGAGGCCCATCTCAGAACACACAAGGCTGCCTGGCCTACTTATGAAAGTCACTTCCTTAGGAACACACAGACACTGTGAATGGAGGCCAGAACTTGCTGACTGGGGGTAGTGACACAGCACCAGGGAGGAGCTCACCAATTCCAGGGGATACCTGGTCTGGCTGCAGGCACAGAGAGTGAGTGGCTGGGAAGGCATGGGTGGATCAGTCTCCATTGGCGCTTCTGACCCCTTTCTCACACTTTCACACACACCCTCACCTGCATCAAGGACCAGCAGCCTGCCAGCATGGGCAGAGTCTGAGAACAGAGGTGGTGCAGTATCCACTGTGGAGCTGGGAGACACAGAGCAGTGGTGTTAGGGAATCTGAAGGGAGAGGTGGGGAAAGGTGTGGCATGTTCCATGGTTTACTGTGCACCTGGAGAGGCTCTGGTCCAAGACTGCCTGGCCACTTTCCACCGCCTGCTTCATTCTTTCATCAGATTAGGACTACACTGATATAATGACCCTATCTTTACCTGGATCATCTACCTAAAACACTATTCTCCAGCCATTTTTTTTTTTTTAATGTGTACATCTTCAGGGCTTCCCCCCACAGGGTCCTTGGCACTGAGGTCATCCACTGCCCCCCACAATATGGTTAAGCCAACCTCTGATCTTACCTACCTCCTTTAAAACCTCCCTGCCTAGTGGGACTGACATGTGTGCTCACATTGGATGTGGCTCTGTGCCATGCACACCTATTTGGCTTCTCTTTTCCACTGTGCTCTCAGCACACTCAGCTTCCACTTGTGGCTCCTGTGAGGAACTCTCGGATCTTCAAGGCCTGTAGAGACCTTCCTGCCCTCTGAGAACACAGCAGCCACTGGCACAACAAATTCATTTAGTCCATGGTCATGAATTACCTTGAAATGTTCAAACTTCCTTTGCCCTGCGTAAAGAGCCCATTAAAAAACAAACAAACAAACAAACCACATGAACTCTCAGAACATATCTTACCTCTTAAGAAGGAAGATGTGGTATCTGAAAAACAGGCCCCACTGCACAACCCTCCACCCCGAGAAGTACCTAGCTGGAAATGCTCACACTGCTTTCCAGGACAAGACACAAATGGCATGAACTCCTGGGTCGCTGGGACCACAGCTCTTCCTGGGACAACAGTGCATGGACACATACTCCCAAACCTTTCAGTGAGCAGACACAGGGTACAGACAGGTGAACAGAACAATGGCCTCAGAACCTGATGAATGCAGAGATCTTCAACAGAGAAGCGCGCAAACAGGGGCTAGAGTGGAGTAGAAGCAATGTGGCTTTGAATGAGGTGCTTTTCTCCCAGGAGCTTCTTTGATCTCATCTACATGCTGAGGTCCAAGCTGCGCCCTGATTGGTTGGTACAACCTCAATCTCAGGGCTTCTACCTCTCCCAGTTCTGAGGCCTTCAGGTACTTTCTCCTCTGCCACATTCTCTCTCTTAGGATGGAACTGCCTTCTCAGCATGTTTGCGTCCCTTAGCACTCCCTTGCATCTTCTGTTTCCTTCCTTGCCTGGTGTCTCACTTGGACCCCAGTATGGGCCTGAGCAGTCTTCCCTGCTAGGAGTCTCACCTGCATGCTTGTTATTTAAAATACTACAGAATGTTTCTCTCTACTCGGTCTTGTTTTATATTCCTATTTCTTTTACGTCTTGCTGCTAGTAACCTCTCTTGTCTCCTCCATTATGTAAATGATGGCTTTCAGCACTTGATATTCAGTTTTCTTTGTGTGGGGGTTGTGCTCCCAGTTCAGCCATGTGAGATTATACCACATGTAAGAAGAGAATAGCCCAAGTCAGGCCTCAGTTGGCAGGTGTGGTAGGGGCAGCTTGGGCAGCAGAGATTCAGTTGGTCCTCCTCCAGGCAACCTGTCTCTTCCTCATTTCTAACTTTTTAGAGGTAATTAACACAAAAAGAGGACCTGGGTATAACCCCAAGCCTTGGGGTTTGGGAGGGACAACCAGCCCCACTAACATTCCCTTACCCAGGCCTGGGGTTGACTTGGACTTGACTGCAGAGACAAAGCTGGGGGCTATTTTCCTCCAACCCAGCAGCTCAGCAACTCAGTCCCCACACTAGAGGGGTCTCTCCAGGGCCATCTCCATGTTGCTGTTGTTAGCCCCAGGGTCCACATTTCCCAGTAGCTTTTCTAGGTTTGGAGAAGGGACTAGGAAACAGAATTTGGAGTACTGGGCTGTTCATACACAGAAACCCCACAGACACATGGCTTTCACTGTACGCCACTGGAGACTATTTCTCTACCAGCTGGGGAGCCAGGCTGCATACAGGCTTTTCAGCAAACATAAAATAGAAAAGTAGATATTGAAGAGTGACAAGATGGCTTGGGGAGCCGGGTATGGAGGCAGGACACAGGCAGCCCACTGCCAGCACACTGCAGGTCTCAGAGGCAGGCTGTCCATCTGGGAACCCCACACACATTTCTTCAGCACATTCCCCAATGCGCTGGATTCTAAAAAGAATGATGGCAGGAAACATCAGGGATTTTTTTTTACTGCTAAGAATAAATTGAAAGATTGTACTTCAAGTGAGGAATGAAATGATTTCCTTTTAAATAACAACCTTTTCTTCACAAATGAAAGTGGGTTGCCAGTAAGACCAATCTTGGGACCACCAAACCCTGCTTCCACATGAACAAAGAAGCCAGGGTGCTCTGAGAAACCACAAAGCAGCAACCTTCACATGACCTGGTCCAGAAGGAAACCACCATTCACTCACAAAGCTTAAGCACAGCATGCATCTAATGTCCAATGACAGCAGGCACATTTCACTGTAACCAGGCCCAGAAATGTCTAGCCAAGTTCCTAGATCTCTGAGACTCAGGATCCAACCCGGGAAGGGCACTTACCAGCGCAGGGCAATCTTGATGGGAGTGGTGAGACAGGACGTGAACAGGTCAGCCGGGAGGTCGGGGATCATGGGCAGCAGCTCGTTGGCCTCACAGGCTGCCAGCTGGATGCAGTTCTTCATTGATGGGGGCAAGGGCATCTGGGCAAGCGGGTGGTTTGGGTTAATTGCAGCCACCTACAGCAAAAACATGGGCAAAGACAGAGAGGCTTAGCTGACACACCTGGAAGGAAAGCTGGGGTGCAATGAGAGGCCTAATGCTGCCAAGTCCTCATCATCCCTACACTCCTCTGGCAGCAGAACATGGCTCTGCCTAACAAACCCGTTTCCTTTATGGTTTTTCTCCTCCAAGGCCCCTCTGTGGCCCATGATTGCACCAATGTCCACATATACCCAAGCAGGTCTTTCATGCTGCCTCATGCTTACGCTGAACATCCCATCGTTAAGCCACTGCATGGCCTTATTTGGGGTGTTTAATGGCATGGGAAGATGCTCGGGGTATATGAACTCAGCACTGAAAGCAAAACAGAAGCCAGTACATGGCAGTGCACCTGCCACCATTCACACCTGGAGATGCATGCACAGGGCAGGTGGGGCGATAGTTTTCTCCTGCAGTCACCTCATTGCTTGAGATGTTTGGCAAACAAAAGTGCTCTGGTTCTGTACTAGGGAGAAAGTGGTTCAACCTAATTTAAGCATGATCTCCCTTTAAGGCAGAGGAGAGGGTCACAGGCTTGATAGTCACCTTGTCAGAATTTGGTCACACTGAGGTCTGGGAAGGAAGTCTCCAAGCTCAGTGCACACTACAAGAATGCACACAGCACTTCTTTTCTGGCTTAATAAACTCTAGCTTTTAACTAAAATCTAGTTACACCTTTAATGTAAATCTTTTTTTTTTTTGGCTTTTTTAGATAGGATTTTGAAGCTAGCCTCAAAAATGGCACCCTCCTGCCTCAGTGCAGGGATTACAGGCACGCATCACCATGCTAGGCTGCCAAAAAAATGCAAATCTTTTAAATAATGCAATACATTCAAACATTTTTTAAAAAATGGCAGGACTAGCTGATGCTGTCTTCCCCACACCACCATAGAGCACTGAGTGAACCCAGTGCACCATCAAAGTAGCAGCATCTAAGTGAACACAGGGCATACACACCAGACACAACACACCAGTCTGAGCATTATGGTTCCCTTTCTCTGCTTTGGTGCATGCTCATAACAACACTTGAGCCTGCCACAGGCTCTGCCATCATTCTCAGAAGAGCTCAGTCAGTATGGTGCATGGGGTCTGTGCAGAACTGTGTGTGCACTGTTCTGCCTGCTCCAGAAAGTGCTTGAAGAGCACAGGTTGGAACGACTTCACCAATGAAGTGCTTCAGCTTGGAGAAGCAGCACAACAGCCAGCAATGACTCGCCCGAAAAAATGTGATGAGGCCGAGGACGTGGGCTGTGTAGTCCCAGGTGCCCTGGGAAAGCCTGAGCCCCAAAGCATCTCACACCGCAAAGTCCAAACAGACAGCAGACAGACCTCCAGGCAGAAGCAAAGGAAGGAAAATCCTGAAGAAAACACAGAGCATCTGGATCTTCTCCAGTTGGAGTAAATCATAATGTCTGGATTGAAATGATGGAACACAAAGCCCAGATAATACTGACTACACACATCCACACAATTTTCAGGATCCCTTGTTCACTCATGTGTGTACTATATACATTATTTGGCCATAATGAAAAGTTATCTACTATGGAGCCCCAATTTCATATAATCTATCTTGGTCAGGGATTTGGCAAAACCTCAAACATGATAAAATGAAGTTTAATGCCAGAAAGAACCTCCTAACACAGTTTCATTTATTAATAATGCCATTCTACAAGGATCAGGAAAGTCACATTATGGAATGCTGAACATTTGGCCTCCAGAGCTTTTAGGATATTTGTTACTTCAGCGACTCCTCAAGTCAATGTTAGAAACACCACGGGGCAAGACCACATTGCTTTTCACTTGAACCACAGCAAATTCCAAGAACAGGGGCCTACGGTGAGCACTGAGGAGGGTGGGCCCAGTCAAGGAGGCACCACCTTTTTTTTTTTTCATTTTTCTTTTATTATTCATATGTGCATACAAGGCTTGGTTTATTTCTCCCCCCTGCCCCCACCCCCTCCCTTACCACCCACTCCGCCCCCTCCCTCTCCCCCCCTCAATACCCAGCAGAAACTATTTTGCCCTTATCTCTAATTTTGTTGTAGAGAGAGTATAAGCAATAATAGGAAGGAACAAGGGGTTTTGCTGGTTGAGATAAGGATAGCTATACAGGGCATTGACTCACATTGATTTCCTGTGCGTGGGTGTTACCTTCTAGGTTAATTCTTTTTAATCTAACCTTTTCTCTAGTTCCTGGTCCCCTTTTCCTATTGGCCTCAGTTGCTTTAAGGTATCTGCTTTAGTTTCTCTGCATTAAGGGCAACAAATGCTAGCTAGTTTTTTAGGTGTCTTACCTATCCTCACCCCTCCCTTGTGTGCTCTCGCTTTTATCATGTGCTCATAGTCCAATCCCCTTGTTGTGTTTGCCCTTGATCTAATGTCCACATATGAGGGAGAACATACGATTTTTGGTCTTTTGAGCCAGGTTAACCAAGGAGGCACCACCTTTAATTATGGACGGATACCGATTTGTTTCATGCCTTGCAAAGAACACTGATGCATTGCCTCTTTTGCTCCTTGCTGGTAGCTCCATCTAGCAGCATAATCTTAACATTTCTCAAAGCTGGTTCACACATGCTATTTCATCTGCTTCTTACAACATCCTTCAGCTCCATTTTCAAACATCTTCAGCAATGAGGAAACAGGCCTAAAGAAATAACAAGACTGTCCACCTGCTTGGCCAGCAAAGAGCCAGAATGCCAACCAGCTGCTCCTGGTTTGAAGGACATTTTTCACTTTTATTCCTATCTGGACCCTTTTGAGTGCATGCTAGGAACCTGAGACACCAAACAGTGCACTCAGCACCTGTTAAATCAATATATGTGAAACTATCTTGGCTCCTGGACAGCCAATCTAGGAATGATGGTGTGTAATGTGTTGACATCTCATTGCTCATAACTTTGACTGTAACATCTCAAATTTCTCAAATGGAAGGTACTAAAGGCTGCATGTTTTATCAATAACCCCTTCTACTACAGGAACAGTAAACCCAAAGTACCAATCAAAGACTTATATATGCAATAGCAAAGGCAATATAAGCCTTTCATAAAAACTGCAATTTCTAGAGGAACAGGAGTTCTTTATGATAAATTACATGTAATGTAAAATTTGCCATGGTAATGATTTTAGGGTTTGTTTTGTTTTGTTTTGTTTGCATTGCTGGGAATCAGACCCAGGGCCTCCTGCAGGCTGAGCCATACCCCAGCCCGTGTTGACTGTTTTGCATGTACAGTTCAGAGTTCAGTGACATTAAGTACCACCACCAAGGAGTGGGTTTTTTTAAGCAGAGAGAAGAGGGAAGGCAAGATTGGGTAAAATCATTTTCTGGGCTCTGGCTATATAAACTAAAATAGATCAGCAAAGCACAGGAAATTAGTTTTCAGGTCTGTCACATCAGGATGATGAGTCTGGGCACGATCTGGTCTGCAGCTCGTCAGCCCTGAGTCATGAGAGCCAGGCAGGAGCCCTGGAGGCTGCAGTGGCATCACAGCACAGCCCACATGGCCTGGGCAGGTGAGCTGTAGGGAAGTGCTCTTTAATGTTGGTGGAAGGAGGCTGGAAGGGAGGAGAAAAGATGACAACCACACCTGTGTGGGCTAGGGAAGGCTAGGGTACACTGTAGAAGACCAGGGTAGAATCCTGGAGTGTGAAATGTAGCCTTGGAGACACCTGTCTGGGTCTGCTTGCAGTCTGACATTATTTTAATAAGCAAAACTAACTACCACTGGTCATGGAAGTATAAAGATGGCTGACAGATAATTAAAAAGGGAACAACTGCAAGTAGGAAGGGACGGCCACTTACCCAAAACTAGAGTCGACAGTGTTATTTTCTTTTTCAAAAGGACATGCACTCTCATAGCAGAGCTGGTGCAGTCTACTAGTCTGAACATTACTTCCACATTAAGTTTACTTGCTAAACAGGACCAAGAAGTGAACAACAAGTCCTCTTGCTGCAACCTCCAATCACTGCAGCACTCCATCCGTGCTGTCTATGTATGCTCAGCTGCTGAACTCTATCTAACCTTTTTGAAGAACTGACACATCTTTTCACACCAACCCCTTTCTCCCCACTCAGCTTTAAGCCACAGGACGCTGGGGAGGTGAGTGGGCTCCTGTAGAGGCAGCCCAGCAGACCTCATTGGGGGATGAGGATAGGTACCCCTAGCTGTCAGATGTCTGTGTCCTATCCAGTCAGGAGCTGATGCTCCCATGGTTCTGATGCTGGTGGGTTAAGCGTGTCATGCCCCATTGGTCTGCACCTTGCATTTTCATTGGGACCAATGCCTAGTGAAGTAACTAAGACACAGAGGCACTCTGTGGATGCTGAAAAATGACATGAGACAGGCAGACACAGAAGCAGCTTTTTCCAAATATGTCTACTAGGAACTGAGCTTCCCAGAAGCCACTGATAGAAACACAAGCCATCCTAGCACTGGAGTATGAGCAAGGGAAGGCACGCTATCAGGTCACAGGTGACTCAAAGTTCAGGAGCCCACAGTACCAGGGCATAAGACCTGTCCATTGGGCTCAGTGTGTATCCACCAAGCTCTATCAACCATACCACAGACCACATGAGCACTCTGTCTTAGGGATAATTAGACTCAGTGACATTAAAAAACAATCTGACATTCAAGGCAAAGGACTGTGTTTCTGAGAAACATTGTCTCTCAGACTTGCAGTATTATTACATTACTACCATTATTTCTCAGACTTGCAGCAAGAATACAAAAAGAATTTTTTAAACATGAGTTACTTCCAATACATTGTTTTAGTTTTGACTTATCTAAGATACTGACCCTTTAATTGAAATTATTCGTCCAAAACATGTCTATGTACAAGGCAAATTAATAATAATTTGCAGGGCTTGTAAAGGCGGTGGGCACAGACATGAACATCCCATTCAGTCAACCAAACGGCACCTCCGCCCAAGGGGCTTTTGGGGAATCAAGAGGCTTAAGCACCAGAACAAACTTCATCT